TTTCCCTGCAACCGCAGGAAGTGCTACACCTGCCCCCATACCTCCTCCCTCACCCCCATCCCAGGCCCCAAGAAGACTTTCCACATCAAGCAGATGTTCACCTGCACATCTGCCAATGTGGTATACTGCATCCGCTGTACCCGGTGTGGCTTCCTCTACATCGGGGAAACCAAGCGGAGACTCGGGGACCGCTTTGCAGAACACCTACGCTCGGTTCGCAACAAACAACTGCACCTCCCAGTCGCGAACCATTTCAACTCCCCCTCCCATTCCTCAGACGACATGTCCATCCTGGGCCTCCTGCAGTGCCACAACGATGCCACCCGAAGGTTGCAGGAACAGCAACTCATATTCCGCTTGGGAACCCTGCAGCCCAATGGTATCAATGTGGATTTCACAAGTTTCAAAATCTCCCCTCCCCCCACCGCATCCCAAAACCAGTCCAACTCGTCCCTGCCTCCCTAACCTGTTCTTCCTCCCACCTATCCCCTCCTCCCACCTCAAGCCGCACCTCCATCTCCTACCGACCAACCTCATCCCGCCCCCTTGACCTGTCCGTCCTCCCTGGACTGACCTATCCCCTTCCTAACTCCCTACCTACACTCACCTTTACTGGCTCCATCCCCGCCTCTTCGACCTGTTTGTTTCCTCTCCACCTATCCTCTCCTCTATCCCTCTTCTATCCGCCTCCCACTCTCTCCCTATTTATTTCAAAACCCCCTTCCCCTCCCCCTTTTCTGATGAAGGGTCTAGGCCCGAAACGTCAGCCTCTCTGCTCCTATGATGCTGCTTGGCCTGCTGTGTGCATCCAGCCCTGCACCTTGTTGTCTCGGATTCTCCAGCATCTGCAGTTCCTACTATCTCTAACTTTTATTTACTGCTGCAACTCCTTTTTCAGCCTTTAATCAATTGTCTTCACAAATCTAGACATTTTTTGTCCTGCCATATTATTCCTAGGTGGACAATAGACCGTGAGGACAGAATGAAGTGTAAACAATCATGTAGTAATTGGCAAAAAGAAAATGCAGAGGAATTTGTGACTAGGGATTAAGAAATGTACAGTGGAGTTTGAGAAACTGGTAGTCCATTATTAGGATTGTTTCATTGGAAACAGCACACCTTTTCACACATTTCTCACCCACAAAGGTAGTCGAGATTGGAAAAAAGTGTCTCTGAGTAATATTGGATCCACCACAATTTAACTCATAAGAAATGTTTTAACATTCTATCATCATGAGATATTCCAGATCGCTTTAGATTTGGTTACCAAAGCTGGCTTTCTCCTGGTTCAGAATATATATATGTGTGATTTGCAAAACATTATTTTAATCCAGATGCAGAGAAACTTGATCCTGCTTGTTCCTTTTTTGGGAAGTAAGACAAGGGGAATAACTGACCAATTTTGTAGAATTATGCGCCATATTTGAAGGATGCCTGAGAAATTTCTGACAAAAATCAAGTCCAGTATAATCAGGCACCCTGATAAGTATCTAAAACAAATTTTAAGCATCTTAATTGTCCTTCTGAGGGCTTTACCACTGGCTTCAGAATGCTCCTGAAGATAGGGTGGAGTGGAGCATGTCCTGGGCATACTTAGGTTTCCCTTAAATTCACTGAAGCCCACAAAAGGACAATTCTTTTATACATACTTATCTTCATGTAGATATGGAAGCTGCACTACTCCAGGCATCTGCTTGATTCTCCTGTTCACTATCAGCCCCACTGCACTATACACCTTGGAAGTCACCCATTGGAAGTCTATTGCCATATACCAAGCTTCCAATAGAGATGTGGTGGACACCTTTAGTTCATTGTGGACATGCTGATGAGATCTGAAATACAATTCAGGCAACAGCCTTAGCCTCTTGTGAGGCACTCCTTACTATTCATGCTCGACAACACAAGGCTAAAACAAAATTTCTAAGTCATCACTTCTGTGTGA